CTATGGTGAAATTGCCTTTATATTCGAACAAAAGTCCGCATTTTTTCTTTTATTTTTTTTTTTTAAAAGTCCAAAATTATCAATAATTGTGGCTAAATAGCTTTAAATTAATCCACGTTCTTTTTGGCAATAAAATTGCTACAATTGCAGTTCAATTAATTACGTTTTGGCAAAACAAATTGCCAATAAGTAGATTAATATTCTTTTAGCCGACAAAATCGCTTAAAAATTTGAATTTTTTGGGCAAAAAATGCCTTAAATTAATTCAATCATTCTGGCGACAATCGCGCCAAAATCGCTTTTGGCAAATAAATTGGCCCTGAATCAACACATTTTGGCTAAAGGCCTTCTAAAATAAATCAATGTTGGCCGACAAATCGCCTAAAAAAATCAACTTTTTGGCAAACAAATTGCTAAAATCCATCAACTTTTAGCAAAACAATTGCCCTAAAATCAAATCTTTTTTGGCTAAAAGCCTTAAATCAATCAAATTTTGACGACAATCGCCCAATCATTTTGGCAATCAAATGCCTTAATCAACCATCTTTTGGCAATAAATAAGCCCAACCATCAATCAATTTCGGCCGACAATCGCCGCAATCAAACAATTTTTGTGGGCAAAATAAATTGCCTAATCATTTGTTTTGGCTAAAAGCCTTAAATAATCAATTTTGGCGACAATCCGCCTAAATCACATCTTTTGGCAAACAAATTGCCTAAATCAAATCTTTTTGGCTAAAAGCCTTAAATCAACCAATTTTGGCGACAATCGCCCAATCAGCATTTTTGGCAATAAGTTGCCTAAATTAATCTTTTCGGCTAAAAGCCTTAAATTAACATTTTTTTGGCGACAATCGCCTAAACAATCATCTTTTGGCAAGCAAATTGCCTAAATCATTCTTTTGGCTAAAAGCCTTAAATCAACACTTTTGGCAACAGATGCCTAAAAATCAATCAATTCTTTAGCAAAATGCCTCAACAAAATGCACAAAGCATACACACACTCATGCATTAAGCATACCCATTCAAAGCCCTTTTAAAAAAGGTCTATCGAACTACGTTGACACCTCGGGTTCGAAGACCAATGCTTAAACATTAGGATAATTAATCTAGTAATTAGGTTAATTAAAATCGGAGTCACTTAGGAGTTTTTTTCTATTTAGGGGTTTTTTTCTAGTTTACCCTAAAATAATTAAACAAGGTGGCGACTCACACATCACGTGCATTTCTTCCTTAGTCACATGCATTTGTATGCATGATGTTCGGGGGAGGGGTTCACAGGATGATCCATCACCGGGAGACATGGTTTGGGACTTACGAGTAGTACATGATATGGTAGAATCAGCTATCTGGAAAGGCTCGAGTATCTTGATGCGAACAGGCCCATGGAATGGCATTTCATTCAGCGGTATACCACAATTAAGGCCTAACCAAGTTTACGATTTCAAGTTTGAGCGTAATGAAGAGGAAGTTTACATTTTATACCACCAAAAAGATGACACTGTAATATACAGGCCTATACTGAACCAAACCAACAATAGACTTGAGTTGCTATTATGGGATAAAACTTCTCAATCTTGGCTTCTGCAGTTTTATTTGCCATCAGATCACTGTGATTCTTATGGCATTTGTGGTAGCTTTGGAATTTGTAAAGCTTCTACAACACCAGATTGTCAATGTTTGAAAGGATTCACTCCTAAATCGCCGGAGAAATGGTACTCAGCGGATTTTTCTCAAGGGTGTGTCCGTAACAATTCATTGAACTGCAGCAGCGACGGTTTTATCAAATTCACAGGGTTAAAATTACCAGATATTACAGATACTTGGGAAAATGAAAGTATGAACCTTAATGAATGCAGATCTAAATGCTCCAAGAACTGTTCTTGCACTGCATACACAAGCTATGATATTAGAAATGGAGGCAGCGGTTGTATCATTTGGTTTAGTAATTTGATTGATATCAGAGAAATTGCTTTTGGTGGACAGGATCTATACATTCGGATGTCGGCTTCTGAACTAGGTACAAAATCTTGGTTTTTTATTTTGCTCTTTTGCATATTTTCAGGTATTTTCTCTGATGTCTTATAGTTTTATTTTCCTTGGTTCCTCCTTTGTATCAAAAGTTGGTTTAGAAGATGTGGGAGGTAATCAGAACAAGAAGATGTTGGTGATAATCATCCCTTCTGTTATTGCAACTTCTGGAATTCTAGCAGTCAGCTATTACTACTTCAAAAGGCGTAAAAAACTAAAAGGTAAAAGCAATGCATTTAGCTACTGTGGACTTTTTTTGGAAAGGTTTAATTTTTAGAAGATGCAAATGACATCTCTTTGCTTTAGAAAATAATAAAATGCAAGACAAAAATCAAGAATCAGACGAGGAACTGGAGCTGCCATTATTTGACTTTGCCACAATATCACATGCAACCAACAAATTTTCGTTCGGCAATAAGCTGGGACAAGGTGGTTTTGGACCTCTATACAAGGTAGTTAAGCCTATAATCTGTTAGCAAAATGAATGTACGAACATAAAAAACTTCTGTCCCTGAACTTTCAACGGATGATTTTCCTAGGGAATTGCTCCCTGAACCTTTCAACGGAATGATTTTTTCCTAGGGAATACTATCAGATGGAAAAGAGATTGCTGTTAAGAGGTTATCAAGCAATTCTGGACAAGGATTAATCGAGTTCAAAAATGAAGTTAAATTGATTGCCAAACTTCAGCATCGAAATCTTGTAAAGCTTCATGGTTGTTGCATTAAGGGAGACGAGAGACTTCTGATCTATGACTATATGCCAAACAAAAGTCTAGACTACTTCATTTTTGGTATGAATGCCTCAAATACTAATAAATTCTTTTTTTTTTTTTGTTGTAAATTTTTCTTGCTTGTTTAAATATTTCCCTGAAAATTGAAATCAAATTGAATTGTCAGATCAAAGTAGAGCAAAACTATTAGATTGGTCCAAGCGTTTCAAGATTGTGTGTGGAATTGCTAGGGGGCTTCTCTATCTTCATCAAGATTCAAGATTAAGAATTATACATAGAGATCTTAAACCCAGTAATGTATTACTTGATAATGAGATGAACCCGAAAATTTCAGATTTTGGCATGGCCAGAACTTTTGGAGGAGATCAGACTGAAGGAAACACTAGAAGGGTGGTTGGAACATAGTAAGTATTGTATTCATTTCCAAGTTGATATGATTAATTACAAGTTGATATGATTAAGTTACTTTGTGGATAAATGTGTTTCACTGGTAATTGGTTCTGCTAGTGGTTATATGGCGCCAGAGGTAAAATGCCAGTGATGGGCTATTCTCAGGTTAAATCTGATGTTTTTATGCTTCGTATCCCCAAATGTTAGAGACAACTATGGAAAGAGAAAGTCGTGGATTTTATCACAACAGACCGACCAGCCGGTAACCTTATTGGATATGTAAGTGTTGCTCAATCCAAAAAATTTAGAAATTGACTTTGGAATAGGATTTATATCTTCTGTTGGTTCTCGTGAAATCTAAATTTTTTTAGATATTGTTGTTTGGAATAACTTTATGTTTTGTAAATGGAACTAAAGAGAAGGATAAAAGCCTGGAAGAATAAAATATAATTTTGGTTTCTGAAAATTTTTGTGTATTAATTGTGTATTAATTTGTCTATCAATAAAAGCTTTTGGTATGTTTCAGGCATGGAGATTGTGGAATGAAGGGAATGTCTTGGAATTGGTGGAATCATTTTTAATGGAGTCTTGCAGTTTATTAGAAGTTAAACGATGCATCCATATCAGCCTCTTATGCGTTCAACAACATGCAGAGGACAGGCCAAGCATGGCATCTGTGGTTTTAATGTTAGGCAGCAAGAATGAACTGCCTCAGCCCAAAAAACCTGGTTTTTTTATAGAATCACGTCCACTAGAGACACAATCGCCCACGAGCAATCGAGGATCATCTTCAAAAAATGAAATTAGCTTATCAGCGTTGCAGGGTCGATAATGGATCATGAAACTGCTATCAATGGTGTTGTTTATCCTTGTCCAAATTTCTTCAGCGTGTTAAACGGCTACTATCTTATATGCAAATTTGTCTAGCATATTACATGCCTTAAGTACACGCCTGTATTGGACTGTGTTCTGCGTGTTAGAAGTTAGTTGATTTTCCTGATTTAAGAATTCCATTCTAATTAAAAAAAAAAAATTGATTCTAGATCTGATTATTAGTGTATACGAGGTATAAAATGCTTCAAGACGCTAAGAAAATATGATCAAGAGGAAAATTGTAAAATTCCCCAGTTTCATTTTCAAAATTTTTGAATTGTGTTTAAGTAAAAATGTCAAATAAAATGTTAGATACTGAGTTGTTTAAAAGATAGTTATTAAACCTTAATCATCCTGACAAGATAACTCAAAAAACAGAACTCAAAATTAGGTTAATTTCCTTTTAAACCATTTAAGAAAGATAATTAGATCTAATGCAACTGAGGTTCAATTGGCCGATCTGAATCAATTCAATTGTCTGATCAATCATTGATAATTATAATTATTTTATTAATATATACTATAATTAATGCTTTTATGACCTATTAATTAAATTAATGACCCACTCACCCGATTCCTTAGCCGGATTGCTAGCGTGGGAATCGGGTTTAATAACTATGGTGCAAATACAAATGACCTAGGGCTAACAATTTTGGGCTAAGGCCCCACAAAGATATAAAACGGCTATGTGTTATTATAATTTATTTTAATTTATTTATATTCTAGAGTTACTACTGTTATTATATTATTTTATTTTGTTTCATATCCTTACTAGGCTTTCATATCCTTATTATTTTATTTTAAGAAATGCAAGGTGCAGTTCTTACAAAATAATTGTGTACGTAGAAAATGGGCAACCTTTCTCGATCATGCAATTAATTACTAATTAGTCTCCTGATGAACCTACATTTTATACAGTGACTTGTTTGCAACGTAGCAACAAAGTCCTAATGCCTATCTAGTTCCACACATAAACCACAACTTGCAATAATGTCAGTTTCACGTATTAAGAGTGACCATTATCTCAACATTTATTGGTTATTTTTTATTTCATTTCATTTTATTCTATGTATTAAGTTTCCTTCATGACCAAAAATAAATCTTTCCTTCATGACCAAAAAATAAATCTGTTGATTTGGCGGCTAGAAACCCTTTTGAATTTTGCGGCTAGAACCCTTTTGAATTTTCGATTGATTATTTGTATTTATAATAAAAATTCTTTTCATTACATAAAATTATTATTTAATATTTATTAATATATTTGTTTGGATCGAACGAGTGAGAAATTCATTTCATTTATAAATTAGTTTCACTAATAAAATTCATTTATACGTATTATCACTTCGATGAAAATGTCAAAAACAAAACAATAAAGCTTCATAATATTTTGTATAATTTATTTATACCAAATAAGGGGTTAGTGATCAGTAAGATTTTCGATCCTAACATTTTTTTTGAATTCAAACGACAGGTAATTAATTTTGATTACAAATATCTAATTTAGACTTTTCCAAAAAGCGAAATCTCAACTAACTGGCTCATGTGGCATTAAAATTTTTAGACTCAAGAAAAGTCTATATCCTGAAATTCCAAGGACATTGACAAAAAAAATATTACATTACATTTTGATATTTCTTTAGAAGAATCATCTGATTTTTATTTTTGTATTCACTGGGAAGCTTATAATAGATTAGAATAACATATTATGGACTATATAATAGAAGTATTCATTTTCTTAATTCACTAAATTGGTGAAAATTATTGTGATTCAAAGTATTCACGTACGATTTTAACTTCTAAATTTTCTATCCTTTCCTTTTTTTAATTAAATTTTAATCTTTCTCGCTTTAATTAATGGAACAATCTTTTCAATCCCTGAATTTTCATATTTTTACCATGCAGACCAAGTGAAAAAACAAATGTAATAATAAAAAATTTGATTGAATTGATATATGAATTGCTTCTTAATTGACATAATAAGAGAATAAGAAAAGAAAACACATTAAAACAGCAAATGGTAACTAGCAAAACAGCCAATGGTTTTTTTTTTTTTTTTCTTTGCTTTCATAAAAGCAGCAAAATATGTTAATTAGCTTTGACCGAGCCTCTGTGTATTTTTCTCCTTGTAAGGAAGTTATTATTTTCCTTTAAGAGTTCTTTTTTTTCCCCTTATTAATTATTTTCCTTTAAGAGTTCTTTTTTTTCCCCTTATTAATAATTTATTTCGAATGCGTCTACATCCAAATATCGTTATCAGATAGCATTTGTAGCAACTTCTAAATTATAAAATGCATGAAAATTTAGAGTTTTCACTTGATCAATTAATTTTAATTTCCGTCGGCTAAATGTATAAGTTTGATACCTAAACTTTGCAAGAAAAACTTAGTAGTGATACGCTCAATTTTTTTATTCATTCATCGATCAAATCCTTAAATCTGTATAATTATATTTATTGAACAGTTTAATTTATAAAATTACACGTATTTAATATTTCAATTTATAAAATTATACTAATTGAATACTTATAAGATAGTAAGAAAAATTATGAAAATCATTATTTAATAATTTGTGATTAAAAGATGTATAAAGTGTTCCACTGATTGAATATAATATATTTAATTTTACAAATTAAAGTATTCTATTTATACAATTTGATAAATTGAAGGACTAACGGTCAATTTTAAAGTTAGAGTGCCATTAAAAAAAATTAGATTTCTATAGCTGAGCCATTCCAATAATGTTACATTATCATATGACATTTGCATGAACCATATTTGGAACATGTCTGAAAAGCCTAAACATATCAAACTTTTCTCTTTGATATGCTACAAATATTTCAAAGGAATGAGGTTGTTTTGAACTTCCAATTTTTTTTTTTTAATTTATCGGAAGCTTATGTGGGCCGACACGACACATAATAGGGGTAGTCTTTCTCTTGACTTATTAAATTGATGAAAACAACTATAGTGAAAGAAGTCGAACTTTTAACTTTTCTATGCTGTGATAAATACTATTTACAGTATGAAATAAGTATGACAATTAAGTTTTTAGTACATGACTAAAAAGATTACTTTGATGATGTTCATTTGAATTATGTTAAATAGATTTTAATAAAAGCTTACTCGTTATAGAAATTCGTGTTAGACACTTAAATTATCAATTTTATGAAAGTAATTGTACTTATATTAAATTTTATTATAGATGTATCTCTTTTATTACTTTGCTCAAAAAGTCAATCGCTATGCATGTATAAAGCGCATTTATACGTGTGTGTATATATATATATATATAATTTAGATATCGCATCAAAGAAGCAGTAAGCAGAAATGTCTCACCGTCCGAAGCTAATTTGCGCCCTTTCTTTTATTTTGGTCATAACTAATTTACTATTTTTGTTCTGCAAATTCTCAAATGCAACTGATACTCTTACTTCATCGCAATCAATTGTTGATGGCCAGACCTTACTTTATCGCAATCAATTGTTGATGGCCAGACCTTAGTTTCAAAAGATGGAATTTTTGAGCTTGGTTTCTTTAGTCCTGGTTGTTCCGGGAAGCGTTACTTGGGAATTTGGTATTTGGTAAGCAAAAAATTCCAGTTAGGAAACTGTCGTTTGGGTGGCAAATCGGGAATCAATCCAATCAAATGATTCTACTTTGTTTTGCTGATGTAGACAGTACAAAGACAGTACAAGTAAAAATCTTGTGCTTATTAATAGCAACAACGGCGTTGTTTGGTCATCGTCAAACTCAACGAAGGAAGCCCAAAATCCAGTAGTACAGCTCCTGGATTCTGGGAATCTTGTCTTAAGAGATGGAAATAATGGAAATTCTGGAATATACTTATGGCAGAGCTTTGATTATCCAACTGATACATTACTAGCAGGAATGAAGATTGGAGTGAACTTGAAGACTGGACTTGATAGGCGTTTAACTTCATGGAAAAATTGGGATGATCCATCACCGGGTGACCTTGTTTGGAGGTTGCTAGTGTTGCATAATTATAATGCTGAATCAACTTTATGGAAAGGCTCAAAGCTCTGGTACCGATCAGGCCCGTGGAATGGCATCACATACAGCTTTATACCCCAGTTAAGCCCTATTTTTGAATTCTACTTTGTACAAAATGAAGAGGAAGTTTACTATATATGCCTTCCCAAAAATAAATCTATAACTTTTAGGACTGTAATTAACGAAACAAGCAATCAAAGGGAGTTGTACACATGGGATGGTACATCTCGATTAATGAGTCTTTCTTCATCTAGGCAAGTAGATTCCTGTGATGAGTATGGCCGTTGTGGTGCTTATGGAAATTGCATAATTACTTTGTCACCAGTCTGTCAATGCTTGAAGGGATTCAATCCCAAATCGCCTGAAAAGTGGAACTCAGCGGTTTGGTCTCAAGGGTGTATCCGCAACAATTCATTAAATTGCAAGAGAGGTGATGGTTTTTTCAAATTCAATGGGATAAAATTGCCAGATACTACATATTCTTGGTTAAATGAAAGTATGAACCTCAATGAATGCCAAGCTAAATGCTTACAAAACTGTTCTTGCACTGCATACTCAAGCAATGATATCAGAAATGGAGGCAGTGGTTGCATCCTCTGGTTTAATGATTTGATTGATATTAGAGAAATTGCAAATGGCGCACAGGATCTACATGTTCGGATGTCTGCTTCTGAACTGGGTATGTGCTCTAAAAAAAAGTGAAATTAACATTAATTTGTGTTCTATATTACCAACTCTGTTGTCAGCTTCTTTTACATATATTCTACGATGCTTATTATTGTCTTTAACTGACCATATAAATATTATTTGAAAGCTGAACCTGATGTGAAACATAAACCTCGCAAGATAATGGTGATCACAATCACCTCTGCTATCGCTGTGGTTTCTGGAATTGTACTAGTGAGCTATTATTTCTACAGTGGAAGGAAAAAGTTAAAAGGTAACTTTCTGCATTTTTTAGCTGCATCCTTCAAAATTCGGATCTTTTGTTACTTGACTAACACAAATCATATCTGAATGTGTTTTAGACAAATATAAATTTGAAAACAACGAAGCCCCAGATGAAGACATGGACCTGCTATTGTTTGACCTTGCTACAATATCACGTGCAACAAACAAATTTTCATTAAGCAACAAATTAGGGCAAGGAGGTTTCGGACCAGTGTACAAGGTGAGAAACAAAAATCCATTACTCACATATGTCGATGCTTCGAACACCGGATCGCCCTTTATTAAATCTTGTTCATTTTCATGGCTATCCACCTTTCTCCTGCACCTTCTTTTTTCACTATACAAATCAGTTATTGTAGCTCGCTTTAATTCTAGCAAAGTAAGCATTATACAAAAGATGCAAGGTACTTTTTACCAATTCTTCACCAAAAACTTAAGCTAAACTAACCCAAATCTTAAGTTGAAATTCAGATGTTCTTCTTCTCGAAACTTTGAAAATGATGTTAAAAGTAGTTTAAAAGTCATTGCCAAACAAACTGTCTATTTAGAATTTTAAAAGTCATTTGCCAAACAATCTGTCTACTTAGAATTTTGCGACTTTCGATTTTTTAGGGAACACTACTGAATGGCCAAGAGATTGCAGTTAAGAGGCTATCAAGTAACTGTGGACAAGGATTAATCGAGTTCAAAAACGAAGTTATATTGATTGCAAAACTTCAGCACCGAAATCTTGTAAAGCTTCTTGGTTGCTGCATTCAAGGAAATGAAAGACTGCTTATATACGAATACATGCCAAACAAAAGCCTGGATTACTTCATTTTTGGTACATATGGAATATGCACATAATTAGCTGAAATTTTTTTTTTAATATATATGAATTCACTTTCTTCATTTGTTGTAAAATTCTAAATAGAAATGAAACTGAATTGCCAGATCAAACTAGAGGAAAACTATTAGATTGGTCCAAGCGTTTCAACATTATGTGCGCAATAGCTAGGGGCCTTCTCTATCTTCATCAAGATTCAAGACTTAGAATTATACACAGAGATCTCAAAGCAAGTAATGTATTGCTTGATAATGAGATGAACCCGAAGATTTCAGATTTTGGCATGGCCAGGATTTTTGGAGGAGACCAGACTGAGGGAAACACTAAAAGGGTAGTTGGCACATAGTAAGTATTGTCTTCCTTTACAAGTTGATATGATTTACTTCTTTGTGTGAATGTGTTGCACTGGTAATTGTTTTGTAGCGGTTATATGGCGCCAGAGTATGCCAGCGATGGGCTATTTTCAGTTAAGTCCGATGTTTTTAGCTTTGGTATCCTAATGTTAGAGATAACAACCGGAAAGAGAAGTCGTGGACTTTATCACCAAGACCATAATCTTAACCTTATTGGATATGTAAGTGTTGAAGGAATGTTTGGTTTTAAATTTCGTGTATTTGTTATGTACATATGTGTTTTTGTTATGTTCAGGCATGGAGATTGTGGAATGAAGGAAATGACTTGGAATTGGTTGAACCATTTTTAATGGAGTCATGCCATTTATCAGAAGTTAAGCGATGCATCCATATCAGCCTCTTATGTGTTCAACAACATGCAGAGGATAGGCCAAGCGTCGCATCGGTGGTTCTAATGTTAGGTAGTAAAAGTGAACTGCCTCTGCCCAAAAAACCTGGTTTTCTTGTAGACAGAAGTTCAGTTGAAAGAGAATCTCCATCAAGCAAGCCAGTATCATCTTCAACCAATGAAATTAGCTTGTCAATGTTGCAGGGTCGATAAAATATAATTTAACAATTACATATGTGCTAATTTCCTGGTACTAACGATAAAATTCTTCCACTTGTGATTATTACGCCTATTTTTTAGCAAATAATAATGCAAACATGAGAGTAAAGTGGCAAGAGAACTTCCTAGATTGATTATATTTATATCATTACAAAGAAAATTTTATTTTGTGGATTCAAAAATATCAATTATGCTTTAATAAAGATTTTAAATAAAAAATTATTAAACTAATATATTCCCTCTAAGATGAAATTAACAAAATATCTGTTTTCCTGTAAAAAGCTTAATTATATAAATAATATTTTAAAAACGTTATGATGCTCTAACGTAATCCCTAATTGGATTCTTTTTTATCGTTTTTTAGAATCCAAAATTGAATTTTTATACATACTATGGAAGCATCACCAACTAACCTAACTTTTATACTTAAAATTATTTTTATAATTCCTGTAATCCATTAAAATCATAATTAATTGACTCTGCAATATAATAAGAATTATTTTTCTAATCTTCCATTTTTATATAGATCATCATCAAAACATTTCATATAAATCTTAGTGATATGTAATTCTGTTTTTTGTTTAACATATGCTCTTACAGAAGAAAATTTATCTGCCACAGTAAGCTAGCATACACAAATGGCATGCAAAGAACCAAATAGGACTAAAATGGAGTATCTCAATCAAACCAAATAACAATAATAATTGAAAAGAAGAGAGGAAGTCAGCTAGAGTGAAAAGCCCAGCAAGAAGAGCGAGTGACAATTAGGTTCTCAAATGATAGGCGGAGAAGGTTTCGGGCCTGTGCACGGGTACATTCTTGTTTGTCATCGACTCAAATCCAGCTGTCGAAAGCCGCCGTCCGACGACCAAGCTGCAATGAAAGAATTCTGTTTCTGCAGCGAACAAATTGAAATTCTGCTTGACAAATTGAAAGTTTTATCAAGGATAAGCTCTCTCCCATTGCCAGTCTCCTTTCCTCCCCAAATGATTTAAGCCACTGTATGCAGCCCCGACCACACCAACAAAACCACCGTTTGCCCCATCATGACGACTACTCCGACACGCTTTCACTTCTCCTTTGATAGAAAATCCTCAATGAACGATTTTCGTACTTAAGCGTCTTAGGTGTTTTGATTATTCGCTGAAGTTGTTTGATGAAATGACTGAGAAAGCTGAGGCTTTTAGAGCTACTGGAGCGTATAAATCGAGTAAGGCTTTAACCTTCTTTACACAAAGGCAACAGAGGATAGTTGAGCAATATTCTAAGCTGATTTGGGTCGTTCCTAATGATACAAGAATTGAAGCAAAGGAAACAAGAAAAAAAAAATGTTGTCTGAAAATGAAGGAGAGTTTTCACTTAATTATAGAAGACGTAAGACTTGTTTTGAAGAAGCCATGATTGATTCAAAGATCAAAAGTGAAAACTTTTTAGCTCTAGTTAACTGTGATAGAGAGCTAATTTCCAAAAGCTGGATATGCTTCATATTTTGTATGCATGCCTTAAAAAAACAATATATTTCAGTTTCTTTATTTATTTATTTATTTATTTGTTTAACTTGAAATTCAATTTTGGGTTTACATTTTCAGTAAAATCTAAGTGAAACTTGACGGATCAAACTATACGAAAGCTATTAAATTGGTCCAAATGTTTCAATAATTTTTAATTAAGAAAGAAGCCAGGAGAAGTTGGTTTTGGACCTGTGTACAATGTGAGCTTGCAACCTACTAGGAAATTATAACAGGAATATACAACTATCCACTTCGATTTTTTCTTCTTGTGATTTTTGCAGGGAACACTACTAGATGGCGAAGAGATTGCTGCTAAGAGGCTACCAAGTGATTTTGGACAAGGATTAACAGAGCTCAAAAATGAAGTTAAATTGATTGCAAGACTTCAGCGCTGAAATCTTGTAAAGCTTCTTGGTTGCTGTATTCAAGGAGTTGAGAGAATACTAATTTATGAATACATGCCGAACAGAAGCCTGGATTACTACATTTTTGGTATGAGTGCCTTAAGATATCATTACAATCAGTTTCACTAAAATCGGTTTCTTTGTTTCTTCTAAAATTCTAGTTGTGTCTCTAGTTCGCTCATATGGAAATCAAATTTTCCAGATCAAACTAGGTCCAAACTATTAGATTGGCGCAAAAGTTTCAACCTTTTGTGTGGCATTGCGAGGGGCCTTCTGCATCTTCATCAAGATTCTAGGCTATAATTACAGAGAGATCTCAAAGCAAGTAACATATTACTTGATAATGAGGTGAACCCAAAAATTCCAGGTTTTGGCATCGCAATAACTTTGAGGACCCAGACAGTAAAAACACGAAACAGGTAGTTGGAACATAATAGGTATTGCACTTACTTAGGAGTTCATATGATTTACTTCTCTGCGTTAATGTACTGGTAATTTTTCTGTAGTGGTTATATGGCACCTGAATATGCCACTGCTGGGCTATTCTCATTGAAGTCTGATGTTTTTACCTTGGAATATTAATGCTAGAGATAATAACTGGGAATAAAAGCCGTGGAATAGTAATGTTTTACCTCGGAATATTAACCTCATAGTCATTTTGATAGAAATTGATATCATGTCAAAAGTTGCATGAAATTTGTAAGGATTCAATTTATTTAATGGAAACGCTATTAAGAATAATTTACTCTATGACCTGAAATAGATGCCATATTGGACAAAGAACACTCTTGAAGCTCCGTTTACCACTCAATATCTGCATCTCAGTCCTACACAATAGATCAAGTGATCAACCAGAACTGACTACTGTTAGGGAATTGTCTGAGCTGTTTTGGTTCTTGAACCAATAGAAAGCAAAAACAGAGGATATGGATTTCTCGCAGTATTTGATAACCAGTGGGTCTGATGAATTTGTGTTTCCTTGTTTTTTTCAGGTGGTCAAATCTTTATAATGTGAAGTACAATTTTTTTAACAGGTCATCAATCATGCCTAATAGGTGTTAATTGTTGTGTCTATAAGAAAGTCAATATTTATCTAGAACAATTTTCTTTAGCCAATGGAATTACTTCTAGTGTGCCGTTAAACACTTCTCAAATTCAATGCAAGAGACTATTTTTCAAGATTTTTCAACAATCAAAACTAACACCTTCGTGATTGGAGTAAGGAGTCTCTTATCACAACAACTGGCAATTTCTTATTCACTATGTTGCTATCTATCTGATGTATGCAAGTTCATGTTTTTTCACTTGCACAATCATGTAGGATTTAAAAATTTATTATATTTAAGAACTCGTGAAAAAAAAAAGCTTCTCTAACATTAGATATCAATGGATATTGTTTCACTTACATTTCTTAGTAACTATCTTCTCATTTACCTTTTCAGAATCTCCACTGCCCTAGATACTATTAGTCTCTCACAATCTTTGACCGATGGCAAGACCTTGGTTTCCGGAGAAGGAACCTTCGAACTGGGTTTCTTCAGTCCAGATGATTCCAACAAACGTTATTTGGGAATTTGGTATGCAAATATGCCAGATAGAATTGTTGTTTGGGTTGCAAACCGGAATAATCCAATTAATGACTCTTCTGGTTTGTTGACTATAAACAGCACAGGCAATCCTGTGCTCCTCAGTGAGAACACGACTGTTGTTTGGTCAGCTTCAAACTTGATGAAAGCAGCACAAGAGCCAATCTTGCAGCTTCTAGATACAGGAAATTTTGTTGTGAGAAATAAAAATGAAGGAGATAATGGAATCTATTTGTGGCAGAGCTTTGACTATCCATGTGATACACTGCTTCCAGGAATGAAGCTGGGATGGGACTCTAAGACTGGACTTAATAGGCGTCTAACATCTTGGAAGAGCTCAAATGATCCATCTGTTGGAGACTTTATATGGGAGACGCAATTGCAGGGTAATCCTGAGCTAGTTGTGTGGAAGGGCAGAGATAAGTACTACAGGAGCGGCCCATGGAACGGCATTACATTCAGTGGTGGCGTTGCACTAAAGCCAAACCCAATTTTTGAGTACAATTTTGTCTCAACTGAGGAAGAGGTATACTACACATACACCCTCAAAAATAAATCCTTATTAACAAGGATAGTTATAAATCAAACCACCTATACTCGCCGTCGCTACACATGGAATGATATCAGTAGAAGTTGGATACTCTATGATAGTGCGCCAAGGGACCGCTGTGATAGTTATGGCCTTTGCGGTGTCTATGGAAATTGCATGGCTACTGAATCGCCAGTTTGCCAATGTTTAAAAGGGTTCAAGCCTAAAATATTAGAAGACTGGAACCTAATGGATTGGTCTCAAGGGTGTGTTCGCAATAAGCCATTAGATTGTCAAAAGGGAGATGGATTTGTTAAATTTGTTGGGCTGAAATTGCCGGATGCTATGCATTCTTGGGTCAACAAAACAATGAATTTAAATGAATGCAGGATTAAATGCTTACAGAATTGTTCTTGCATGGCATACTCAAATTCAGATATTAGAGGTGGAGGCAGCGGATGTGCCATTTGGTTTGGTGACCTGATAGATATTAGGCAGTTACCAGTTGTAGATCAAGTACTATATATTCGAATGAATGTTTCAGAAACAGGTATGAACTTGCTATTGTTTTTGGTAAGCCGTTTCTTCCTTTATGTATTCTTTTAACTTTTTTATTTTTTTTGTTGTATCCATAATTGACTATGCAGTGGACAAACAAAAAACCAAGTGGAAGATAGCAATAATAATTTTAGCTTCCATTGCCTTGGTCTCTGGGACACTTGTGATCTGCTTTTCTATTTATAGAAGGAAAGTAAAGTCCACAGGTAAAGTTTCTTTCCTTGTTAATAAACAAAATCCCATCTTATTTAACCTCAATTGCTAAAAGATTAGAAGTGTATTGAAAAATTGCTGCATCAATTACTGGTGCAGCTTTTAATAAAGTTTACTGCATAAAGGATACTTTGCGCATTGTTAGAACTGATGAAATGATTAGTTCAATTCAATTAGAACAGCTGATATAACTAGACTCCATATTACCTTTTAATTTAGCCTTTCACTAATGTAATTGTAACTATGATTATATGAGTTAATTCAGTTCTCATATTTTGCATTTAATATGCACCCTTGTCTCCCCTACATCCTTTCAGATCAATCAGCAACAAATACACAAAATGGTCAAAACAATGAAGACTTGGAGCTGCCATTATTTGATTTATCTACAATAGTTAATGCCACCAATAATTTTTCATTCAACAACAAGATAGGAGAAGGTGGTTTTGGGCCAGTCTACAGGGTACATTCTTAATTTCAAGTTAATGTACTTCAGAAACTCTAAGCACCCACTTGATCAGAATAGCTCAAATTATTTGACATATTTTATTTTTCAGGGCATACTAACAGACGGACAAGAAATTGCTGTAAAGAGGCTATCAAAGAGTTCCGGACAAGGGTTGAGTGAGTTCACAAATGAAGTCATACTTATTGCAAAACTTCAGCACCGAAATCTTGTAAAGCTTCTTGGTTGTTGCATTCAAGGGGAGGAGAAAATGCTAGTTTATGAGTACATGCCCAATAAAAGCCTTGACTCCTTCATTTTTGGTTTGTATCATTCATAACTTAATAAATGTCATAAGCCTGAAGTAACTTTTTTCAAAAATATGCCATACATTCTCTATTCAATCAAGTTTTCCATATGAAATACATAATGTAACAGATAAAACGAGAAGTAAACTGCTTGACTGGGCCAAGCGTTTCAACATCATCTGTGGGATTGCTAGAGGGCTTCTCTATTTGCATCAAGATTCAAGATTGAGGATTATACATAGAGATCTCAAAGCAAGTAATATATTACTTGATAATGAGATGAACCCAAAAATTTCAGATTTTGGCTTGGCCAAAACTTTCAGAGGTGAACAGATTGAAGGAAACACAAATAGGGTGGTTGGAACATAGTAAGTATCATATGCTAACCTTTCATATATAAATTGCCTCGCTTTGAAATTAATATATTTTTGTAATTATTATGTTATGTAGTGGATATATGGCACCCGAGTATGCTACTGATGGGATATTCTCAGACAAATCTGATGTTTTTAGCTTCGGAGTAATAATGCTTGAGATAATTAGTGGTAAAAAGAGTAGAGGGTATCATCACCCTGACCATACTCTTAACCTTATTGGATATGTAAGTTCTATTCTCTGCTATTTCCTTTTTTGCGCCTATGGAACTATGTAAAAATGAAAGGTTCTCTGGTACTCTTGTGTTCTAGGCATGGAGATTATGGAAAGAAGGCAAGTCCTTGGAATTGATTGATTCAATATTAGGAGAGTCATATGATCTATCGCAAGTCATGCGATGCTACACTATTAGTCTTTTATGTGTGCAACAACATGCTGAGGACAGACCAAGCATGGCAGCTTTGGTTTTGATGTTAAGTAGTGAGATAGCATTGCCTGCGCCTAACGAACCAGGTTTTTTCAAGGACAAAGGTGCACTTGAAGCAGAATATTCATCAAGCAAGTTTGAATCATCTTCAACCAATGAAATGTCAATCTCATTGCTACAGGCTCGATAGATGATTATTTTAACTATATGCCAAGGTAACATTTCTTGTTTACAGTTTGTTTATTGACTCTGTAGCTAAAGATGCTAGTAAAGTTTTAGCACATTCGAAATTGTGTAAATTTTCAACAGTACGAGACAGGAACCCACTGCTAAATGATTTAGGTTCTTCAGCCATTGCAGAGCAAAACCAGAGAAAATATTGTTGGGCTTGAAGAATTCTTGACACTGAGCTTCAAGCTCAACTACTTTAGTTCTTCCAGTACATATTACGTGATCACACTTTCTTTTGTTCTGAAATTCAGTGAACCATTTGGAGTATAAACTATATCTTTCATTTATAATAATTTTGTTTTTTTGATTGGAGATCTCTAATCTAAATTCCAAATGCAAAAATGGCCTTTTCTTAAATTTTTCTCACGTTGTATGGTAGGGTATATTGTATTAGTTTGCAGGGGTGTGCAAATGGCGAGCTTGATTCGAATTAATTCAAACAGAGCAAATCAAATTTTTAATAAAATAAAAATCAAACCATTTGATTTTTCAGAACAAACTGAATTAAACCAATTTCGCCCTGGTATATTGTAGTTGTATTTATTGCAATTCAACCACTTAAATTTACAATTTGTCACTATTTGATCACTTAAATTTAATTTTTGTCGTGATTATAATTAACCTAAACATAACTGCAAGTATGATTAACATGTATATGGAGTGCACGCAGCATATAGTAATCAACTAATCATTTGATTTCTTGTTGTTAATTGTGATCAGACTACTGATTCTTTGTATTAACTGATAATTCTATATTATAAGCTGTAACTGTCATTTTCAGAAATTTACAGACAATAAGTATATAACTGAAACTATGTGCTTACTGTTAGATTCCGATTTCTCATTTTTAAAATCCGTAATCTAAAACCATTTCCAAAACTGAAATCAACAATAAAACCGGAAATTACATATAGCCCCTAATATAGCAGACGACGCCCTTAAATGCTAACCAGAAACAGATTGTGTAGGCATGACGCTTTGGTAGCATCAGAATGATGTAACTTGTGCATGCGTTTAGAAAAACCTGTAATTACTACAAGGATAATTAATTAATAATCATATATAATATTGAATAAAAATAATAATATTTTGATATAGGAAAATCTTAATAATATTTTTGATGTTTACTAGTTGTCAAACCTAGCTATATCTTGTTAATATTGAATTATATATAATATTTATTGATAAATATATTTTCTCTATCTCAAAATAATATTTCATTTTACAAATTTGAAATATACTAAATTACTTATTCGTTTATCTATTTTACTGAAAAATCTTTAACTTAAAAACTATTAACAATAATAATATATTTAAATAACTCGTATTAATTTTTATGTCAGTGTACACTAAAACAAAAGGACTTTTCTGATTCTGTGTCAAAATCAAATTGAATTATTGTTTTAAAACAAGTAATTTATTTATTTATTTGTCTTAGAAAAGGACTTATTAGTGACAATTGATTCCTAAATTGACCCCGAGCTAAAAAAAAAAATCCGAATCTCTCATTATATAAGAAGATAAAAATTTAATTATATTACTAATAATCCAATATTAACATTTTCAAATAGTTGACTAGAATTTCACTGAATTAAAAAAATAAAAAAAGAAAGAATATTTTTTATTAGCAAGAGCTTGTATAAGCATGATGTTTTAACTGCATCAGCCTCATATTGTATTATTATATTGTAGCCTAGTCGTGCTACCTTCGTGTAGACACAGCAATTAAATTTTAAATCTTTTCTTTCTTTCTTTCTTTATTATTATTATTAGTAGTAGTATTCAATAGAAGTGTAATGAAATCAATTTAATTATGTAAGCTGAAATTAATTAAGTCTTTCTTCAAAAGATATTATCAATAAAGATTATTCTGAGCATAAAAGACTAAGCTTCTTGAATAAGAGGTCAAGTGTTCGATCGTTACGAATTAAGAAAATTTCTGCTGGAAGTGCTTTTCTTTATGGGCTTAATGTGGCGCGAACAGAATTAAGTTTATTGACCGATATATGCAATGATGTCTGAGTCTAATTGATTTACTTGCATTATAAGCTTTTCATCCATTTAAAAAAATCTAAGAAATAAATACTTATATGTAGCATATAATATATACTAAGTACAGTAACTTACATAATATATACTTATATATGAAAAATTTAACTTTTGGAAGAAGAAAATACGATTGAACATCATGGAAGAGGTGACAGATACGATCCGTGAAGCAAAAGCCAATTTTGTATTGATATATACAAATATATACAAGTTGCGTGGGGTCTGTTTTAGCTGAGTTATGAAGGGTTCATACATGTTTCATAATATTAGGTTTCTGATTTTCAAAGGAAAAAACCAATCAATCATCCTTTTCTTTTTTTTTTCTTGCGATGCAAAAAAGTTGGATTGGATATTATTATTATTATGACAATCCCATCTATCTATCAATCTATCTTTCTGGATACATGCAATCTGCTGAGGTTCAAATTGAACTATGAAAACCAAAATATGAACTTTATTCTTTATGAAATTTGAACCAAAATAAAATAAACTTTAGAAATTTAGTAATCTATTGAATAAAAATTATAAAAGTTATAAAAAATATATACATGAAATTTTTATAATTTTAAACATTCTTATTATCATATAAACTAGAATTTTTATATTTCTCGTTAATTTTCATTATTACAGTTAAATAACCAAAATTTCTTATTACGAGGTAGAGCAAGTGATTATCTATGGTATATATATTACCCTGTGTCAACTCAATCAAATATTTTAAATTAAGATTATATTTTTTTTATTTTTTCTATAAATATTTTATTAGATTTTCTATATAAAAATATAGAAATATATTGATCTGTATTTCATATTTGTATACAATTTTCTTTTAATGAAATTTACAGTTTGATAAAGAAAAGTAAAAAATTAGAGTTACTTGAATAAATAAGTCTTAATTTGCATTTATAATAGCGGAGATGAATTCTCTATATTTTTCATTAATTCTCAATGCTATAGTCAAATATTTTTATTTTTCTTTATAAGTAATTTTCAAAAATAAAAATAAATAAATTTGTAATTTTATAATAGTGGATATGAAATATAATCATAATATTAATTATTAATTATCAAATTACATTGGTTGATATATGGTCTTTATCCTTGTTTTTTTTTTCTTCTTCTTCCTCCAATTACTATGACTTTAGACATAGTTTGAAGTTAATTTCCTTTCTCTTTGAATATTCCTAACTATTAATTCTTTTCCAGCTAGGCTAGAAATATCAAATATGAACGGGAAGGTTCAAGAAGAGTATACAAAGTTACAAGTAAAGGAAGTTAAAATTTGGCTCCTTCGTAGCATTTTCTTTTTCTTTTCTAGGGATTTTTAATATTTTTTATTTTTCTTTTATATTTTGATTGAATTACTTAAAGTACTTTTTAATTTTTAAAATTAATATATATTATCACATTAATTATATATCATTAAATCTTGGAAAATTCATTATATATCACCTATTTTCTATTTTGTACAATTTTTTATATTTAAAATGTCGATAATTATATTATTTCAAGTTATTTATTTAAATTTGAAATTAACACTTCCTCTATTTAGTTTATTTGTCATTTTTTAGAAATCATTATGAATAAAATTATATATCATTAAATACTTCAAATTTCACTCTATGATATTTTTTTTTTCCCGTTTCCAAATTTGGGATCATATCCCTCCTTGTTTTTATTCCTTGTTTTCTCTTTCAAAAGAAATATTTATATTTTTTATTTTTAATATTTAAAATTTTAATTATTTAATTTTTTTCAAATCTTTTTTTAATTTAAAAATTAGTATTTATTTAACATTAATTAAGAAGAATAAATTTAATAATTTAAAATTCACAAAGAAAACAAGGAAATTAATAAGCAGTTATTGTTCCAACAATTTAAAGTAAAAGACTATTAGTAAAATATCTAAAAAAGTAATTACATTTACTTTTAATGAAAGTGTGTATAAATATTATGTCTAATCTCACTTAAAAAAAAAAAAAAAAAAAACTAATCTCAACTTAATAAAAAAAAAAAAAAAAAAAGAAATCAACTAGAAATTTCGTTAGGAGGAAACTGTATAAAGATATGAGATATAAATCTATATATTTCTATATTTTTATATAGAAAATCTAATAATAAACCACTTATACAAAAAATAAAAAAAATATAATCTTGATTTAAAGTATGTGATCGGGTTGACAGAATATAATATTTGTATCATAAGCGATCTCTTGCTCTCCTTGGTGGCTAGTTGAAATGACTCTAATTTTTATTTTTAAAATTTATTTTCAATTATATTTAGTGAACCGACAGCCTGGAAATTAATATTAATATTTTAGTGCAACTACACCATGGATTAACGAACCCAAACGATTGAAAAGTTCGAACCGATTGAAATCGATGATTTTTTGGGGCCGAATTCAAACCGAATCAAAACTCGGTTCGACCCAAACCATCTAGAAAAATTATCTTTTGCTTTATCTCCAACGCTAAAACTCACTCCCCCTCAACCAGCGCACCTCCATCGCATCGCCATTGCACCACAGCGCCACTTGGCCGCCACCCCCTCTCCCTTTTCTTCTTTCTCTCCTTCTTCCTCTTCTTCTTCTCCTTCTTCTTCTTCTTTCCTTTCTTTCCTTTTTCTTTTCTTTTTCTTTCTTTTTCTTTCCTTGTGCCTGCGTTCTTGGCGAGACAGAGGCAACGCAGCAGAGCCGCGCGCCACTGCCACTCCGCCACCGCCCCTACTACAGCTCGGCAACGCAGCTGCTCCGCCAGCAGCTCCTCGTCTCCTTGGCCAGATCGCGTTGCTGCTCCTCTGTTGCGCCTACAGCAGCAGCACAGCTTTGTCAAGCCAACGCTGCCACTGCAGATCGGGCCTCCGCCGGCGTCACAGCAGCTCTGCTGTCCCTCCAGCACGCCGATCGGTCGTCTCCGCCTCCCTCCGCCACTGCCAGTCGAGTTCGACCACCGACAGTCACTGCTTCTAACCCGACAGGCGTAAGAATTTCCTACCTAGCAATAATTAGTTAGTTAACGTTAACTGTGTTAATGTTGTTTAGTTAATTTAGTTAATTGTGTTAGTTAATGTTAGTTAGATAATGAAACATTAGTTAATTAAATTAGTATTAGACAATGAAATTAATTGATTCGCGTAAGAATTTCTAGCCTAGCAATAGTTAGTTAGTTAACGTTAATTGTGTTATTGTTGTTTAGTTAATTTAGTTAATA